CTTGCTTTCCTTCTCTCAGACGCTGGCGCTTTCTTAATCTTTATCCAATAAAATGAAACCAAAAAAAAATTTTTTTTTAAAGAAATACTATTTGGACGGGCCTGATGTTATCAGGGGCAGGTTTTTTGGGAACCTGTTTTCCTTGTGGGTCCCCTCTTGGAGAACCGTGGCCCCCAGCAGATTCTCCTCCAGGGAGAGAAAAAGTGGCACCCAGACCCTCACGCGATGCGTACCACAGCCAGGAAAGTGCCAGTCCTGGGTTGTGCAGACTGGCATTCAACCCGGTCCCCATGCGCATAAGCAGCCGGCAACCCCAAAACATATGGTGCAACTTTACATGGCTCTGAGTTACCTCCGCAGCATTTAGAATTCTGGCCCAGCCCAGCAGCTTCCTTCTGGTCGTTAGAAGTGATATAGTCACAGTTTTGACAGATGGGGGTGGGGAGAGCCATCTGTTACCTCCTGGCGTGTATATATAGCACAGCCGCTACACACAAGTGGTGTAGTATTACGCAATGAGATGAAACAAGCACCAACTGGGGGACTGTGGCGTTTCCGAGATTTGGAAATGGCAATGGTAAGGGGCTTGCTTAGCTGGCCTTTCTCAGCCTGTATTTCTCTTAGCACAGTACCCAGGGCAGCTACTTGTAATGAAGGAAATCAGGGTGGCCTGCAGGAGGGGAGCTCTGGGCTGCAGGAGCCCCGCTCTGCGTCAGCTGCCTGATCTCAGAGGCTCCAGGCGTATCTCTGAACCCTGCAACCCTCCTTTCTCTCCCCAGCACCACCCACCAGGTCGCTGCTCATCCTTAACCAGGAATGTGCGTCTTTTCAGACAAGGTTCTGCTTTGTTAGTGTGGGTTCTTTTTCCTCCTTAACTCTTGATCAGTTCGACATTTTTCCCTTTTAGAGAGAGCCTTAGGGTGCAGAGCACAGCCCCAGCCCACCCTCCTTCTCTGAATAGGGCTCTGCCAGCTGCACCCTGGGGGCACCAGGAACCCAACGCAGCCATTTTACACATGTCAGAGAATTGGGCTTCAGAGCCCATAATGTTTTGGGGGCACATCCCATTCTAAACCCTTTTTGGCCCGCACAGATAATCAAGTGAATGTGTTTCCTCCACAGAGTATGTACTGGAGGTGGAGGAAGCCGGGAGGGAGGCGGCTGGGGAACAGGAAGATGGAATCAATTTTAGGATTCCAGTTTTGCTCTGGATGATCCTCAAGCTGAGGGACAGGTTCTCCCAGACCCTCCCTCTGCCACACGGGGGTCACTGACCTGGAGGAGGGCCAGATCCCCCTCCTTTATTGAAAGGAAGGGGGTCTTGGACTATGAAGGAACAAAACTTTCAGCTCCTTTTTCTCATCTGGAAAGATGATGATCCCAAGGACAAATGCCAGAGTCTAGTCAGACATGGTATGACCCAACAGCATATATATATACAGCTTCTGACAGGAAGTCTTAGAAAGCACCAGACGCCTCACACCACCGTCTGCCCGAGAGGCATTGAAAGCTGCGAAACCTCCCTCCCTGGCAGTGAGGAAAGCATATGTGTCTGGAACACACACACACACATGCACACACACTATTAAGAGTCACACTTGAATGTCAGCCTCCCCTTTTCCCTTCTAGTTCATGGCAGAAGGGGGAAAAAATGACTCTCCAGCTACTTTGGGTAATTTCTAATTTGGGCTGAAATAGGTTTTTAAACACAAGCCCTAAACGGGGGATGAAGCCAAGGAGGCAGAGTGGCCAGGAGAGAGGCCAGTGTTGCTAAATCCTGAAGGGTAGGCTTCCGGAGAGCCATGCTTCCCGGATCCACTGTGACTGTCAGGCAAGCTCCTGAGCATCCCCCGCCCCCCTGCCTCCCCACCCCACACCCGCCGGAGTCTGAGTGACGGCTGTGGTCACACTGAAGGGACTGCACACCAGGCACACGTTCTCTAGGGCAGGGCCCTCTCACAGGGCCTAGAAATAAAGTGTCAGATTCATCCCTTTAAAAGAAGGAAAGATTAAAAGGCATCCAATTAGACGTGTCACCTAGGCAACGAGAAATAACTTGGGGATCAGAGCCATCCAGAGGGGGAAGTAGAGTTCCCCATGGTAGAGGCATCTAGATGGTGAGGTCTTAATAACTGGCAAATAGCAGCCAACCTAGAGGGAGTGAGCCCCGGGGACAGCACGGAAGGCCTAAGACCCAGCTGGCAAGGCTCTTTGAGGTAGACGGGCCAAAGAGGTGCCCAGGTGGTCCCAATGACAACACACGACTGTACAGGTTCCCATCCCCACAGAAGGGAACAGGACCTGCCTCCAGAAAAGAACAACTCAGAAGCCCCTTTGGCAGTCTTCTCTGTCAGCAGTGCTTCCTGAAGTCTACCCTAAGATGCGCATGCCTCTGCCTTCGCTGTGTTCACTTTTTTTCCTACACTTTGCCTTTGAAAGGAGGCCATTGTGGGAGCTTGAGCAAGCTTCTGAAGGAACCGTAGGTGTGAGGGGGCCGGGAATAACCCTTCCCTCTAAGCCACCTCCAGAAGAACACCAGTCCGCCAACATCCAGGGCAGCTCAGGATCCAGAGGCACGTGTGTGTTTTCGCCCATGTTCTTCTGGCCCCTCCCCCATCTCAGTACATCATTGTCGGTCACCTCAGGCCAAAAGGCTCCCCAGATGCCAGGAAATGCTTCCTGGAAAAAGCCGGGCTCCCAAGTTCAGGGGGATTAATGGAGCTTAGACCACACCTTAAAGGGATTGTTTGACACCCTGCTTAAGGGTGGGCACTGAGAACCAGAGTCCTTGCCAAGCAGGGGTGGGGCCTCCCCATCATTCCAGGAACAGTGGCATTGACAGGGACCCCCTTCTTTGCTGCAGGTTCTTCAGAACCTCAGGGTAAGAGAGCGCCCCATTTTCTTAGATGCTGTAGCCTCTCCCACCATGTGGGGTCTCCAGTTTGACCCACAGCTGTCTGCTCACTGCAGTCTACAACTCCCCCAGCACCAGGATCACTTCCTAACCTTAGGCCCACACTCACCCCCTCTAATGCTGGGATGCTGGGGCTGAGGAGCAAAGATGGCATGAGCTCTTAAGGTGCCCTTGCCACCCTCTGTGGCCACTCAGAGGGTCTTGGTGAATAGCCGGGTCTTCTGACACCAGACAGCTCGCCCGGGGGCCCTTGCTTGCTAATCAGGCCGAGAGGTCAAGCCCCTATGTCAGGGGTGGGCAAACTTTTTGACTCGAGGGCCACAATGGGTTCTTAAACTGGACCGGAGGGCCGGAACAAAAGCATGGATGGAGTGTTTGTGTGAACTAATATAAATTCAAAGTAAACATCATTACATAAAAGGGTACGGTCTTTTTTTTTTTTAGTTTTATTCATTTCAAACAGACCGGATCCGGCCCGCGGACCGTAGTTTGCCCACGGCTGCCCTATGTCCTCTGACTGAAGCCAGAGCCTCCTGGTCTGGTAAAGGAGGCAGAAGTCTCGGGCAGTCTCAGGCACTCAGCTTGTGGACAATGCCTGACAGTCCTGAGCATTTGCCCAGGAGCCTCACACATCACAGTAACACACACACACACACACACACACACACACACACACACCAGCCTTACAAAGAGCGACTAGCTCCATTCCCCCAAGGAAAAATCCTAGTCTGTGTCACTTTAAAAGAAAGATTTCCCATTTTTAACTCCCCGGAGATCTACTAGAGCCTGGAAAATTCTTCTCTGCCTGGGGGAGTTCCACGCACACGTTGCATGAATGTGTATTTTACACAGAAGCCAGTGCCCAAACCCAAGACAAGCCCTGGCAAATAGCTGCTGAATTCACCCAGGCTCCTGCATTCCTCAGTCAGGCCTCCTGGCAGGGGCCCTCTTCTTGTGTGCTGTGGGGTGAGGGGTGACTGAGTTCTCATGGCCAAAGGAGCCCCGAGGTTCTGAGGAACCGAGGCTGAGGGCAGCCCACAGAGAGCTGTGGGCCAGGTGGTTTCATCTTACTGTAACTTTTTACATTCTTTAAAAAAAGCACAATTCCACATGCACACTGTCTGGAAAGCACATCCGGACAGATTGCTTAGGGCACTGCTGAGTCCAGAAGAGGCTGCTGGGGCCTCTTTGTTGCAGTGGTTATATAACAGCTCGCTCCATTCCCTGGGGTGGGGAGGGCTGGAGAGCTGCTGAACCCAGCGTGGACTCGTGGACTCGTGGACTCGGGCCTGGACTCTTGCCCCTGGAGCAGCTTGGCACACACCTTCAGGCTCGCGCAGCATCTCGGCCCGCCCAGCCGGCCTCATTATGCATTGAGGAGCTATGAGATTTCTGCACTAACCTGACCCAAGCCCTCTTCCCCTTTCTTCTAGCCTCTTCCCCTCCCCTCCTCCTTAGGGAAGCTCCCCCTGGCTTTACAAATTATTTTCTATGCTTCATGTTCTCTCAGGAGGGGTGGGTAGAGCATGCGGGGCAGGCCTGCAGGGTTTCTTAAACAATACATTTATTTTTCTGAGCAGCACTCCAAGAGAGGGCTTGAAGGGTATCTGAATTACCGATGAATAAAATGTAGCCTGCCACCACTTAGCTGTTTGCTTTCTGTCTGTCAGAGCCACCCTGCTCACACCTCCTCTCCGGGCCCCAGGGGACTTCTGTTTGGAGGGTTGGGCTTGGGTGGCAGCTCCCAGAGGGGTTGGTGGGGGCAACAATGAACCTTGCAGGCAGCTTGGGCAGATGGGCCAAGGCCAGTATCTGATAGCCAGGGCCAGAAAGAAGGCAGGGGTGTCCAGGAAACGAGCTGGGGGAGTTGGAGGATGTGGCCCTGGTTTCCAGCTCTGGCTGTGCACTGGTCTTTCCAAAGGCAGCTTTAAAGATGCTGATGCCCAGGCTCCTCCCACCCCCTCCACCCCCTGACCCCTGAGATTCTGATTTCAATGGCGCAAGGAGGAGCACAGGCAGGCACTGGAATTTGGGGGAAGCTGCCAAGGTGATTCCAATGGTCAACCAAGGTCTTGAACCTACACTTTCACACAGAGCACTCACTGGTGTGGAAAGAGCACTCATGTAGGAGTTTGGAGGTCTGACTTCTAGTCCTGCGCCTGGCAGTCACTGTGCTTGCTCAGATCCGCAGTGCCCCCCACCTCCCAGGAGCCTTATGAAAAGTAAATGAGAGGCTGGGAACTCTGAAAAGTATGAAGTGCTCCATAAATGCGGTGTCACCATTGTTAGAGGAATTTCATAACAATAAGGGACCAGGCAGCCCCTATCACCTCTGCAGGGGAGCCTTTCTGCAGGGCCAGCTGGGAAGAAGGCTGCCCACAATGCCTTTGCAAACCTGTTCTTATTGGCACCACTTTAACCACCATCAGAGTAGTGCCAAATAGTGCACACTCCACCGAGGCTTTCTCTTCCTCCACAGCCCCCTCCCCAGGCCATCCTTTTCCTTCAGGTTGCCTTGGAGATGAGAAGTAATTGGCAGGTTACACAAGTCCTGACCCTACCCACCTCAGTCTGCAAAATCACCCTCTAGCCTCCTCCAACCCAAAACGTTTCATTCAACTGCAGTAACATCCACGCTGGTCTTTTGGTCTTTTCAATGCTGGTCAAAGGTACTTAATTGATTTCATGACCTGCCTATGAATCACCCCCGCAGTTGGTAAAACATGGGCCTACAGTCCTTCTGGAAAGAAACCTTCCCATTTCCCTGCTTCCAGCTAAGACCCTGCTTCCAGCCAGCTGTGGCAGCAGAGGGGTCTGGGCTCAGGTCCCCCATCAGCCTTCCTCTCCCTTTGGGACTCCTGTCGCCGTGTAATCAGCTCAGGCAGGTGTTTCGGCT